GACAACATGAAATACTGTTTTTTGCCCGCACCATGTACATCCGTCAAATTACGTGATGGCATCGTGCGTAATGGTGGCAGAAGTCACATATATTTAGGTGACAGTCGTCAGTTTTGAATGTAGTTTGCCCTGACTAACCACATAGTAATTTTTCATCGTGGGGTTGCCGAGCGTTAGTGAAGTTATCGAAGATCATCATGGGTGTGCCATCTCGCTATTAAAAGCATTCAAGAGATATGCTACTTTTATCCTAGGCTCTTAAGCATCACGCTCAAGTATGTCCTCCACTGATAGCCACAAATTGTGCTTCGATCGTTTATTGATTTAAGCATGTTCATTTAGGCCACAGTGTTCATCATTGACAGGGCTGGAAATACGGCTGGGAAAATACGCGACGAATAGCGGCACTTGAACCAGGACGAAGAAACTTCGTCAGGGAGCAGCATAACTTATGTACCTCAATCTAATAATTGTCTGCCAAAACAATGGAAACAAGACACCTCGAAGCGTGCTGCAGAACAGGCAATATTCAGTGATTTAAAGTTTAATCCTGAAGTCTAGTGTCATTAAAATATTAGTTTTTTCTCCGTCTTACACAAAATTAAACGGAATTGTTGTTGTGCATTATAAAACCAACACAAACTCAGCATAAGGCGTCTGATCCGAGAGAAAATAATTCAAAAAATTGATTATTTGTGTGTGTCATGCGCTGTTTCTCCCGCCCAATTTTAATTGGTCAATTTTAATTAACTAATGTGTATTTTAACTTCACAGTTTTTCTGTTTCTTTCTGTATCAGGAAGGTCAGATTCCTGAAATCAATTTCTGAACGCCCGGAACCTACTGCTCCACTAAAAGCTCAACTGGAAAGCCGGCAAGCACCCAGGCCAGTCAATCATTCGATCAATTCAGTAAAACCTGATGAGTGTTCTCTGCGCCACAGAAGCACGGCCGAATGTGATCTGCATTCAGGTATTTCATAGAGGCACGATCGATATCGATGGATGTTCACTAACGCCTATCAGACAGCCTGGATCAATGTCAGAAAGTCCCCTTTAAATAGCGTGGGGCCGTTGTAAATTTTGCACTCGCTCTCGCTCTCGCACTCGCACGCACTCACTCGCTTGTTCGGAATATAGCTGTTGTGTTCCCTTCTGTGAGTCTTTTCTCTCCGACACTAGGCACTGGAGCGGGTCAGCAGCAGATACCACAGATTGACGAATCAGCAGATATAACATTCTGTAGCGCATTCAACTCTATGTGAGTAAAATATACCGTTGGATAATTAAAATAAAGCAAGACAACTCAGAGTGAAGCCAACACAATGCTCTGTCCAGGTTCCAACCGGACGTGACGAATTGAGGGAACTTTGTCCTTCAAGGCACCGCTTCTCAACAACTTGACCGTGAGGATTACAAAACGTGTCCATGTAAAAAGCCAGTTTGTCAAATCCACCTGTAAAACTCACGAAATTTGCACAGTTGAATTAGCGCTGCGTATGCAGTTAGATTAATCGTGCAACAGCACCGTGAATTTTTCCTGCTCCTTTTGGTTTCCAGGGTTATGAAAAGAAGTTTAATGAAAGGAATTACAGAAGATTTAGAGGGGACAATATCAGTGAGTAAGCTGACAAATTCTTGGACGAAAATGGGGGAATGTGTGAGACATCACTCTGGATGACCCAGGTCGTCGTGTTTGAGTAATTTCAGTGGAAACGGTGACCAACTTCCCACTTACGTTAAAAGTATTTGAAACGAATGCTGTCTAGCGGACTGCCTCTACGATAAACATGAAGTACACTTTGGAGATTGCACAAACGTGACAAAGATATTTTTTCGTGACAAGGGGAGAGAGGAGGTTTTTGAAAACGGATATACATCATCCGAATGACTAAGGAAACATTTCTTTACCTTTAATCATAAAAGGGATAATACCAATATGTGTGAAACGATGGGTCATATGCAGAAAAGGTGTCTGGCTTATTGATTGGGGTTGATACCAGTTTTAGGGCTTACCAAGACGTAGAAACAAACAGTTTTTCAAAAAAAAGTTGTTGAACCAGGTTAGCTTCTTTGGGATGCCTCTGGAGAACACAGAAAATGAATTCCACTAGACTTGCTTCAGAAAAATATCATCCGCATAGTTACAGCTAACTAGATTAATTATGAAATATCTGTGTTGCAAAGTGAAATAAGGGGCACTATTCGGGGACGAGCCTCCCCTAATAACCGAACATCACATCATTTGGACGGATGTGTCAGGCGCAGGACACCGGCCAGACGAAGGCATGCCCTGATTGGTCAGAATGCCAGCCAATCCGAGTCAAGCAACTTTGACTCGACGCTTCTCGCCTCCTCACGGTGCTTCTAGCACGACCTTGTGGAACACTCTGTGACTACCCCATAAATACAGTTGTAATAATTTTCCTTTGTGTCCATAAAGGGCTGTGTAGAGCTTCGTGCCTTCTGATATACCGTAGTGGGCGGAGCAAGAAGCCAAGGGACCGATACAGAGTTGCACTACCGTCCATCAAGATACAACAGGGACCGAACGGGTCCCAGCGATAGCTGTGAGAATGGATGACTATCGATCATCAAATACTTTTGGATGCATCGCTTAAAAACGTATCAGCAGTGACCGCTTCAAGGCCGATTACTTTTGTACGCCTGCTCAGTTCAGGCACAGTAACCCTAAAAACACGGGGGTTGAAGGTTGAAGCCCAGTGAGTGAAAAGTTTCTAATTAGAACTTCTTTTTGTAAGTAAATCCAGCCTATGCTAGAAGCCAGAGAAGTACAACCGTACAATTGTTTCATCCTTATTAGAAACCGAATCATCATGAGGTATCGAACCTTGCGTCCTTCCGGCTGGTAGTTCGAATACGTAACAGTTCGATCACGAGCGCCAGTCTGACAGGCACTATGACCAGCATGCAGTTAGATTGGATACATGGCCGCTCATTCATTACTCACTGAGTAGTGCATTACAACTATACATGTATCGCAATATCTCGAATATCGTAGCGACTGAAACATGAGGCAGTCTGGTGCAGCACATTCAGTTGCCTGGATACATCACAAACGAGAGATTTAGCTGGTTTCCAGGAGAGTCTCTGGCAAAACCAAATTAGTTTGCAAATGGGTGTATTTCACTCATTCTTCATTCACCTTCGTGGTCACTTGTTGATAGCTCCTTCTTTGGGCCACCTCAGATGGAAGTTGCACTCGTTTTGTGAATTATTCTTCCTCTGAGCTACTTATAGTTTTTGGTAGTCCAAGAAGTAATCCCATTTGAAGTAATCACCTGATGTGGTTTCTGGAACTGTACCGTTATATCCTGTCTAAACGTGAGTGAATTGCACCACTCAACAGCTGCTCGTAGCTGAAACGTCCAGTTTTAAAACTGCTTAGCTAGAGGTTGCGGTTCGAGTTTCACTGAGGTCTCATGAGATCTACACTCCCAATGCTCCCTAACGGGGATGCAATAGCTGCAGAGTGCATCTCAGCATTGGAGCATTGATTGATTTCACTTACAGATCGATATCTCAATTGGCAATTGTGAAATCTTACCGGGCGTTTGGTCAAAATAAATTATTCATCTGAGATTAATCAATCCAAAGCAGACTTGATACCGTTCATCATGCTACTCTGGAGCCATTCTTACATGTAGGTACACAACATAGAGACATAGCGAGATCACCTCGGTCAGGTCATCACGTGATTAATATCACCTAGCCTATCGATTCACCATGTGACTGTTGGGCTGTTATTAAACTAATTTTGCTTTAGGACCACCACTGTTGTTGGCGAAATACATTCATTCGCGAATCAGTATTGTTTTGCGGAAGATTCACTTGGATATCCCGTGACGTGACGAATTGAGGGAACTTTGTCCTTCAAGGCACCGCTTCTCAACAACTTGACCGTGAGGATTACAAAACGTGTCCATGTAAAAAGCCAGTTTGTCAAATCCACCTGTAAAACTCACGAAATTTGCACAGTTGAATTAGCGCTGCGTATGCAGTTAGATTAATCGTGCAACAGCACCGTGAATTTTTCCTGCTCCTTTTGGTTTCCAGGGTTATGAAAAGAAGTTTAATGAAAGGAATTACAGAAGATTTAGAGGGGACAATATCAGTGAGTAAGCTGACAAATTCTTGGACGAAAATGGGGGAATGTGTGAGACATCACTCTGGATGACCCAGGTCGTCGTGTTTGAGTAATTTCAGTGGAAACGGTGACCAACTTCCCACTTACGTTAAAAGTATTTGAAACGAATGCTGTCTAGCGGACTGCCTCTACGATAAACATGAAGTACACTTTGGAGATTGCACAAACGTGACAAAGATATTTTTTCGTGACAAAGGGAGAGAGGAGGTTTTTGAAAACGGATATACATCATCCGAATGACTAAGGAAACATTTCTTTACCTTTAATCATAAAAGGGATAATACCAATATGTGTGAAACGATGGGTCATATGCAGAAAAGGTGTCTGGCTTATTGATTGGGGTTGATACCAGTTTTAGGGCTTACCAAGACGTAGAAACAAACAGTTTTTCAAAAAAAAGTTGTTGAACCAGGTTAGCTTCTTTGGGATGCCTCTGGAGAACACAGAAAATGAATTCCACTAGACTTGCTTCAGAAAAATATCATCCGCATAGTTACAGCTAACTAGATTAATTATGAAATATCTGTGTTGCAAAGTGAAATAAGGGGCACTATTCGGGGACGAGCCTCCCCTAATAACCGAACATCACATCATTTGGACGGATGTGTCAGGCGCAGGACACCGGCCAGACGAAGGCATGCCCTGATTGGTCAGAATGCCAGCCAATCCGAGTCAAGCAACTTTGACTCGACGCTTCTCGCCTCCTCACGGTGCTTCTAGNAGCACGACCTTGTGGAACACCCTGTGACTACCCTATAAATACAGTTGTAATAATTTTCCTCTGTCTCCATAAAGGGCTGTGTACAGCTATCGTGCCTTCTGATATACCGTAGTGGGCGGAGCAAGAAGCCAAGGGACCGATACAGAGTTGCACTACCGTCCATCAAGATACAACAGGGACCGAACGGGTCCCAGCGATAGCTGTGAGAATGGATGACTATCGATCATCAAATACTTTTGGATGCATCGCTTAAAAACATATCAGCAGTGACCGCTTCAAGGCCGACTTTTGTACGCCTGCTCAGTTCAGGCACAGTAACCCTAAAAACACGGGGGTTGAAGGTTGAAGCCCAGTGAGTGAAAAGTTTCTAATTAGAACTTCTTTTTGTAAGTAAATCCAGCCTATGCTAGAAGCCAGAGAAGTACAACCGTACAATTGTTTCATCCTTATTAGAAACCGAATCATCATGAGGTATCGAACCTTGCGTCCTTCCGGCTGGTAGTTCGAATACGTAACAGTTCGATCACGAGCGCCAGTCTGACAGGCACTATGACCAGCATGCAGTTAGATTGGATACATGGCCGCTCATTCATTACTCACTGAGTAGTGCATTACAACTATACATGTATCCGAATACGTATTCGATCACGAGCGCCAGTCTGACAGGCACTATGACCAGCATGCAGTTAGATTGGATACATGGCCGCTCATTCATTACTCACTCAGTAGTGCATTACAACTATACATGTATCGCAATATCTCGAATATCGTAGCGACTGAAACATGAGGCAGTCTGGTGCAGCACATTCAGTTGCCTGGATACATCACAAACGAGAGATTTAGCTGGTTTCCAGGAGAGTCTCTGGCAAAACCAAATTAGTTTGCAAATGGGTGTATTTCACTCATTCTTCATTCACCTTCGTGGTCACTTGTTGATAGCTCCTTCTTTGGGCCACCTCAGATGGAAGTTGCACTCGTTTTGTGAATTATTCTTCCTCTGAGCTACTTATAGTTTTTGGTAGTCCAAGAAGTAATCCCATTTGAAGTAATCACCTGATGTGGTTTCTGGAACTGTACCGTTATATCCTGTCTAAACGTGAGTGAATTGCACCACTCAACAGCTGCTCGTAGCTGAAACGTCCAGTTTTAAAACTGCTTAGCTAGAGGTTGCGGTTCGAGTTTCACTGAGGTCTCATGAGATCTACACTCCCAATGCTCCCTAACGGGGATGCAATAGCTGCAGAGTGCATCTCAGCATTGGAGCATTGATTGATTTCACTTACAGATCGATATCTCAATTGGCAATTGTGAAATCTTACCGGGCGTTTGGTCAAAATAAATTATTCATCTGAGATTAATCAA